AGAAGAAAGGTTGTAATAACCTTTTTGAAGGACAATATATTTAGGCGTAGATAGACGCTTAATTCACCTTTCTATCATTAACCGTTTGTGAGTTAGACGCGGAAACGTAAACCGATGACCCGCGCAACTTCCCCCCTCCCCCCCGAGTTGTGACCACCCTAGAAATGCGACATCATCGATTTTTTTCATCTACTAGATGTCCCCAACAATAATCAAAAGTCAAATTTTGTCAGACTTTCAGTGCATACTCAACCCGTTTAGCGCCTGGACTAACTTGTGTGGGACCTGCGCCCACCCTTCGAGGAACTGTTTACCGGGCTATTACGGAAAGTAAATATCGGTATGTGATGTAGTCTAAATTTACCCTTACTTTTTTGTGGTTTATCTTACAAGGGCAACACTGCGCTGACAAAGATTTTCTCCAATTGAAGATGCAAACAGACGTTTCCCTTGTGTTTGTGTTTTGAAAGAGTTTTGAAAGCGTAGCAATGGCCGTGAGTGGCATGCAAATCACATATACAGTGTGGATTTCTTGTACATGCTTTATTATTTCATTCGTAGTTTTTTCTTGTACCTATGTGTTGTTTTATATTGTTCTACGAACCAGTATAGGCGGAGGCCTACTCATAAACGTAGCTATTGCACTATTGCTTAATTTAGTCTGTATATCTCAAAGAATACTTGTAAATTGCCACTGTTAATTACTTTCCCTTGTAATAATCCTACACAAAACCAGTAGGCTTACTTAGCATACGTACACATACGCATTTATGTATTCATGCATCTGTAAGTCTTGATACTGACTGTATGTCTACACAAGATTCACCTTTTTTGTTCATCAATCTTATTTGCTTTCTTGTGTGAGTGATAGCCTATGTACGAATTAGGATTTTACCTCAAATAATTAATAGGTAGGTACTCAATAGATGGCCCATATAAGGTACGACCAACCATTTAGAACAAAATTGTTGCGTCATTGTAAATGATTCAGTTTCGAGAGCGTCTACTTTTCAAATCTCAACCGATGAGATCATCAACGTCTGAGGCTACCTGTAGACTCACTGGTAGGCTACAGGATGTCGGCCGGTCTACCTACGGTACTACAGTCCACAGCAATGACGTCATCAGTAACCAGATAGCTGATGTTTCCTGTGAGGTGTCGAGTCACGGTACCTGGCGCTGACTATAGTCGCTACCACTACGTATGTCGTATACATAGGCCTACTTATATATCTTTCTCTCTCTCTGTGTCCTACAGCGTATGGTAAAACACTGACTTTACGCACATCAAACAGTAGCAGGCCAACCATTGACCATAAGTCGTTCTGAAACTTGTCCTATTCTGTACACAGCGTTCCGTTCCGTATGGGAAACAGGACAGAGACGGAGACGTTCCATAGGATATTTCCGTGAATGATTACTCCTAATGGGCTATTGCCCTTTACTTTGCAAATTAAAATAGAAATGACATTTCAAACCAGCGATAACTTTCGTTAGCATTGGCCCACCATAACTTGTACTAAAAAAAGGTTTTTTAACGAGACACTTGTAGAATGTAATGAACACATCGTTTGGTCTTGCACACTGTGAACAGCAAACTACAAAATTTGATGTCGTTTCCGACTTGTTTTATGTTTAAAATGTTGCGAAAAAACTATGCGATAGTGAGGTTACACAAGGTAGTCCTTTTATATAGTTGTGCAAAAATATGTATGCATAATAAAGAAACTGTTTACAACATACAATCCGTCGGTAACTCAACTACAAATATGAAACCACAGAGAATAGTCCATTGGCGGTCTATTGTCTGTGATGATCAACCAAGTAATGTTAACTGTCCTAACTCGATAGCAGGCCAACCACGAGGTGGTGGTAATAGCCAATAATGGCATTAGATTGAGTCAATGACATTACATAATTGTTAGAACAACATTTTAATTAGCCCCCCACAACAATTGAATTGAATTCCAAGTCCTATATTGTGCCCAGGAACCGGTTCCAATGATCTACGAGAGGTCGCCTGTGGTATGTAGGCTATAGAGGAGCGATTCTTGACCTTGCAAACACGTTCTCAACCTTCATACCTAGGGAACATATTGGCTTACCATGTCTTTAGCAACGGAAACAGTCCATTACATGATTAACTTCGTATTTCACTTTAGGTGTTTTAAATCAAACTGGGTCTATTAGAGCACATCCATTCACATTATTTAATCCTGTTATAAGTTTCACTACAGTTTAATCATATCAAAGCCGCGTGGAACATCAGTTACACACAATTGCGACAAAAGTTTGTGTTTGATGGCTACAGGAACATCCCAACATCAGGCGAAGGACAGGATTTCCATGTAAATGAGTCTGCTGGTCACGCAAACATAACTCCAAACTCACCACATCATACCGCACCGCCCTACCTCAATAGTTAATTATAAATCAAGTAAAAGCATTTAGCTTAATTTTATTTTATAGACAATTTTATTCCCATCTATCTTATTTTTGTTATTAGAATAAGGAAAACGCGTCGAAATTGAAGATGGTTACACTATATAACATAGCACTGCTTTCCCTGTGGCTATGGGAATTCTATGGATCTTGTGGAACAAAAACAACTACCTGTCTCCAGACACCTTTCGGAGAAATTCAGTTCGGCGCCCTCATTCGAATTCAAAACGTTTCGAAAGGCTACCTATCCACATACCTATCCCTCTAACTGTTAACTTGTAGATTTGATCCTTCGGAACGGACGCGTTCCGTTCTGTATTTTTTTTTTCGGAATAGCTTTCACTGTTACACACTTGTATACATAAAAAATCGGTTGACTCAATTTAAAGAATTTGATTACTGTGGCAAATCTTCAGTCTATTATAAAAAGATTGTAGACACAAAAAACTACTAAGATACATTGTACATCAAAATAGAAAGCATGTTAACAGTTTTATACTGTACTGTAATTTCTAATGTTTAGGCCCTAAAGGAAATCCTGTCAATCTTGGTCATAGCCTAAATCTTTTTAAAACACAAAAACAGCTAAAATTCTCTCTGGAACAATGTTGTCAAAAACAATCAAGCCAGAATAAAAATATTTCAGCGTACCTATGTGATAGTACAATATTCAACGCACAACAATATTAAAGTTTACCTGAGGAGTTTATTTTATAATGAACGCTGTTTTATCTTAATTTATTCATCCTCACAATCGATGAAAACTAAATTAGCTAGGCCTAAATAAATTTTCACATTGAAAATATAAGTAACAACATTTATTGACACAAAACTGATAAATAAAAAATAGTATTGACTAAATGTGTGATTAGGTAATTACAGTCGTAACATATTTCCCCAACCTTTACAACCCACACAACAACATAACCTTACCTGGGAGAAATCGTAAATTAATCCAATCAGTGTTTATCACAAAACCATAGAACTAACACTCGCGTATACACAGGGGGATGTAAAACGGAACGTGACACGTTTTAGTGGCGAAATACCGCAAAAATAATCGCAAATAGAACGGAAACACGACGAATTACAAAATACGACGGACACAACAACCTGTGCAGTGCAGAGCAGACCAGGTAAAATGGAGACTGGTTTGAAATCAACGACGGTAGAGAGCGCAGAGCTCGCATGCGCAACAGGTCGCTCTGCTACCTAGCGGAATAATCGCGAACTGTCTCTACACTGGTTATATGCAGAACAGACCACTTTGCTCAGACCATGCTAATGCTATTACTAGATAGAATGATAGCATTATGATATATTAACCAATTCGTTCATATCTATGCTATTACTACTACCACAAACAAGGTAATCACAATTTATATACTTTTATTTCCCTATGGTGAAAACTTTGCAAAAACCCGCAGTTCTGCTTTCAAATAACTCAGCACCTAGCCTTCAGAGTAAGTTTTTTAAAGGTTTTTGGTTTATGGTTGAAACATTGTATGTAGTGAAGTCATAAAGATAATATGTCTTGAACGTTACTAGTTCTAATTAAAAAACAACTTAAATACCCCCACCACAGCAAACTTGCAGACTCAGCGAATTTCCATTTACCTGGCTGGATTTCCACTGAAGTATTCCCTTACAATTGCCAGATTTATTTCCTATTTAAATTACATTAATTTTACGAGTACTTAGTTTTTATGCTTCAGCTTATGAGGTGTGTATTTTTTTTTAAACTTTGTTAGCTTAGTATAGAATAAACTATCAAATATATCCATAAACAAGCTAGCTACAACAGTTTATTTGTTTTTGTTAAGAATAACGTGGGTTTTTTTTAATTTACACTTTTCTACAACAAAGTATCAATATGCTATCTTTTCTCAAGAAATTGGGAAATGCTATATTTTTAGGAGCAAAATTGAAAAGAAAGTGATTCAATCATTTCGTCTATTACGATTATGTTACTGTAGATTCCACCATCGATTTTATGTCAATACACCTATAGTTACCAAATAAATTGTAAAAAATTTAGATCCATGCGATTATTATACTGTAATTGAAATTTACAACAGTTTACAATAGCTGATTTTAACTCGTCAGAAACTAAAAAGGTTTGGAGTAAAATGTACTTTAGACCTGCAACGCAGTGATAAAAAACGGAGTTTTTACTGCAGTATGGAAAAAAACAAAATTTTACCCCATAAACCCTCTCCCCCCCACCATAAACCACCGTTCCCATAGTGTTAATTCGGACCGTGGGTGTTTTTGGCCTCTGGGGACCTCAAATCGAGTCCTGGGTTCAGGTCTTACCATGAGACCTACCTAGCATAGTCCCGATATGGGAAATTCACCAAAACTATTTTTTTCGTGTAATGTGATCGATGCTTAATTTAACCTCAGCCATAACATTGGAATGAGATGTCTTTTTCTTTCTACCAATAGCGAACGTATTGTCAACAAGTACTAACAGTATATGCCTCGTTCGACGCCTGCAAGTCACACAATACTACTCCAGTACAACTATGTGTAGTTGTTTGCGTTGAGTCACTCACCGGCTCTCTCCATGAGCGTGTTGACTCCAAGACAGAAGTCCCGGTACGACAGGAACCCTCTCCCCTTCGGGTCCAGGAGATGGGCAACCTCCTCTGCGTCGTTCTGGAATGAAAAACATCACAATGTTTATTGTATTCCAGGACAATTCCATTCAAATCATGAAATACAGTTATTTCTCATAACGTTTTGTCAACAAATTTTTCTAGTGACAAAAAAATTTAACTTAAGCTAAGTTCCATCCAGGGAATAAAATTAATTGGGCAAGTAAACCAAACAATGAATGAAATATTCTGGTTCTTTAATCCAAAATTATAAATCCGTTATATTTTTTACATTGATAAAATACGTGGACGAGAAAACGTCAACAGATAGACGAATCAGCTTTGGTTGAATAGACTTATCTGGGTGTTCTACCGCAAACGAAAGATAAGTATTTTTCTTTTATCTGTGGTTCTAATGTCAACATTGGATTTATCTCATGTATGGTGTTTTCTGTATCTGATAGGTGATTTGGCATAACCAGTCCTATGGCGCCTATAATAAGTGTTCGTCTATTTGATGATGGTCAAACCGTTGTTGTACCTAAAAGAAACAGTAATTTGTAAGCAGGATTACTTAAATTAGGTTAATATTGATACATTGTAATCAGACATAAAGGACAACTGATGATGGTAAACTATAGCATATTGGTGTCCCAACAACTATTTTCAAAAACAAATAGTAGCAAACTATCATAATCTGATTTAGTGGTCATCTCTGCACGTTAAGAAATTAATTTAAAGATAACTAGCTGTTACCCACGGGCTTCACCACTACACTACCCCGTTTGACTTCATAAGTATTAATAAAACTATTGATTGATTAAGTTAAGCTGAAATAAGCAAAACAGAATACAGTAATACAAACAAATAATCACACCTGATTTTTATAAGGTAATAAATTGAAAGAATAACATACAAATTAGTACAGCTGAGGTATTTTTAACATTAGGTATTATGTAAAGTCCCCCTTAGAAAGGAATTACGACCTTAAAGGGCAATTTATGAAATAATGGATAGTTTTGCCTCGTTATAACGAACATTTTAAGTACCTATATGGTTTATGGGGGTGTGACTTATAGTTTTCTCAAAAGTTCATGGGTACTTTGGGATTTATATAGATAAGCTGATTTAGTGGTCATCTCTGCACATTAAGAAATAAGTTTAAAGATAATTTGTCACTGATTTCCAGTAAAAATGAACTACGGTTGTAAATTCATAAATAAAGTTCATAGGTTATATTCTTTTGTCTAGGTAATTGAAACTCGACTTCAGCGTATATTACAGTGAAATTACCACGACACGTCTAGACTTCCTAGTCAATAACTATGTTTACTTTACACACAAGTCAAGATCAATTTTTATTTATTGAAAATTCTTTCCCCATTTCCGCAACAAGACCGAAGGCCGAAACCAATAATTTACCTCGTATTATTTCCCGTATTGTTTGCAATTGTTTTCTTCATTGTTTGTTGAAAACTTTCCCAAGGCTTTAGTTTATTGTGTTTCTGATAACAGTACCAGCTGTTACGTTGCGTTGCACAATTTCTTCGTTTCCTGATTGTTTTGAAAAACAAGAAACTTGAGCTCGTTGGACTAGTCAAGATTTTTTCCGCCAAAACCAATTGAAAATACTAGGTGTACAATGCAGTTGTCTGCCTGCAGTATTGAGCAGAGCTAGCATATTAATCCAATACATTTCCAAAGTCAATGCTACATCTGGTTAACGTAAATGGAATGTATACTTTTGCAGTCTAAGTCTATGTTAATCTAGTTCACGTAAATGAGATATCTCCTTAATATCCAAAATCACTTTTGCAGTCTAAGTCTATGCTAAATCCAATTCATGTAAATGAGATATCTCCTTAAGTATCCAAAATCAATGGTACATCCAGTGAGAACTGTTAATGTATAATAACTCTACATAGAGTTTTATACATCGATGGTGAGAACGAACTAGTAATCTTCAGACTTGAGGGCGAGTGCTCTCCTTTCCAGACTACATGAAGCCATGGCCTTCGTTCTCATACGTTCGTTCTGATACAGAAAAATCCAACATGGTTTCTTAGCTCTGATAGATAATACCAGGAGCAATCTTTAATTCGGATACTTACTGGAACTACAGTTCTAATCTCGTTGTAAAAGTTTATGTCTGTTTCATGCCTAGATATTTTCGTATTCGACTAAAATACTAAAATTACTCTTTCATTTAGTCAAATTTTAAATTGTGCATATACGACAAATGGACATCATTCTTCTGTGTGGTTCACATAAGACGTGAGTCATGAATGAATAGTAAATGAACATACAGGCTGTTCCCAAACGTGATGACCAACGTAAGGCGTTATGGCCGTGTAACGCGCAGTCTAACTGCGTTACGTGGAAGCGTCACGCGTCACTTTCACACATTCCAACGACGTCACGTCGTGTCACATAATCGATTGTCACGCTTGTGGCGGACAAGGAGGGAAATATTCAATAGATTGGCGGCAGTGAAGGATGCTGGGAAATACTTAGTAGCTAACACTAAACTTTGTCAACGTTGGTCGATACCAGTGTAGCTTGTAATTGAACTTGTAAATAGTGAAGCTCAGCAAAAACGAGGAGACGGAAGATTTGACAATTGGGCCATCTGCTAAAAACCTATAGGGTTGACAACGTTAGCAGGTTACTAACCTTATTTATTTTGTTGTAATAGGTTATCCAAAGTAGCGTTTTGGGAATAGAAGGATTAGCAGCTTCTTACATTGTACAACACATACTTTGAAGTAGACTTTTGGATATTTAAGTAGACATACCATCTATGTAGACCAACTTTGGCCAATAAAACAGTTAAATGAGCCAATCATGTGTGCTAGAGTACAAAATTATGTTTTCACCCTTTTTTTTCTTATTTTGATGAATGATAATTTAGTTTGGTTTGGGTTGAAAAGTCTGTTAAATTAGTATTTAATTACTGATTTCTGTTGAATACACTTTTCACGGTTGCAGTTTTAACATGGAAACAGATCCATTCAATCCATAGTAAAATGCTTGACACAATTAGTTGATGTCTGTTCCCGATGGTAGAATGAGAATTGTTATTTGTCACTAAGTTTGAAGTAAAGATGTAAATTTTTAGTCGTACATTATAACACTACAACTTATAGGCTAAAAGTTGAATCCAATGCTGTTTTGCTGTTGCTGATTCAGGCTGAATTACTTCCTAGAACTGCTTAGAGGTATTGTAAAATATCTTAAACAGAAATAAAATATCAATATGCAGTAAACAATTTTACCCGACAGTTAAAACAAGTGAAGAGTCACTTTCAACGCCATAATGAACTATTACTATTGTTCTTGACATTGAGACAAGAAGACGTGAGAACTGAGGCCTTGGATGTGCGGAACTACACGGCGACGCAGTCTTTGGGAACTCTGCACACAATGTGGGATATAATGCGAACCAGTGAAACCGCCTGGGAACCGCGTATGATGACTACACGCGGGGAAACTGCTTGGAAAAATCATCAAGAGATGTTTAGTTCACATCAAAAATATTTAAAACACAATTTTTTTTTAAATTGAATATCTCTTACTTTTTGAGGCGTTAAAAGATTTCCATGCCTGAATTCCTATTGATGAGTTAGTCATTGATGAGACAAATTCATGTCAATAAGAAATATTGAAAACGCACTAGTTGTGTAAATATTAAATAGCATACCTTCTTGGAACAAATTACGGTTAAATAAACAATAGTTGAAGTAAAGTATCGCCGTGGAAACAAAACATAGGAACAAAATGGGTTTCGATTTCTATATCTATCCTATGCGTCCGGCTAAAACGTTTTTGTAATTTGTACTTTTTTTGTCCTAAGGACGCTAGGCACGAGCCTGGGATTGTTTTTCACATTACTTCAGGCTAGACCTAGGGGTTGCGGCATTATCACTTAGATAAAATCCATTGGTGACTTGGCGGGGTAACCACTACGCCAGCTCGTTTCCCTGTAATTTGTACTAGAGTTTGAGCAATTATTATTCCATGATTGCTTTTATATAAAATGCGATATTCTGTCCGATTATCTCTAAGCAAAATATATGGTTTTGAACAAAGAAACAGCTAGTTCTGAATTTCTGAACGGTTGAAGACCTTAAAAAGTTACTCCCATTCAGCTTAAAATACACTGAATTGTATTGCTAAATTGTTGAAATGATTTTGATAAGTGGGGTTTTGCTTCTTAGATGGGTATAGTCAACAAATATACATTTTCTATAAACATAAACCATCCCAATCCAAATTCAATTCTACCAGTAACGTCTATAGCCAAAGGCATAACTAGTTGACAGAAAAAAAAAATATATTTTATAAATTGCTATTTCTTGCCTGAATTCAAATTGCTGTTTCTTGCATGAATTCCTGATATTCCTGATATTAACTGAAATTCCCTTTTCGTTCTCAAACATAATAAGTATACAATTTAGTGAAAGCAAAAACAGCAAAGCAAAACTAAACAGTAAAACAATTCAGTAAGAGCAAAATGTTGCTATAATCCCACCGTTTGGAACTTTGAGGTCACTTTTGGTTCCGAGAGGGAATCAGGAAAATGGGGAGGACAAGGTCTAGATTTTCCCCAGCGCGTGGGAATGGCGGCGCCGCATTGAGCGAACAAATGGCCCAAATGGTCGGAAAATGGTAATGGCTCGCAATACTGGCCTTCATAGAATACAGACGGTCATCTGGTGGATTACCAGCTGTGAAATATAGCGGGAGTAATGTGCGTAACGGTCAAGTTGGAGATTTCAATTTGTGAAATGGTGAGACCAGATTTCATCTCTGCGGCGAGAGGATCTAGGTTATACTGGAGTTTATGGATCCCACGGTCACGGTTTAAGTGTTTCATGTAGAAGGAAAACGCATTAGCTTAAGATGAATGCAAATATTTCAAAATTCGGATAAACAAAATTCAAACTTACAGCAGAGACTAACATTTTCTATAGTCTGTGCTTTCAGTTACATGAAGGTCTATAGGCTTTTCATTGAAACGTGTAGATTTAAGTACTGTAACTTTGCTACCTCCAAATTGTG